TTCAGGCCACTGGGCAATGTGTCAAATTGAGGAACCTCTGGGGTCATCCTATCCTATGATAAATCACCAGAGCATAGGAAAAGGTAGAAGTTCTAAGAGCACATACCTGTTCTCAGTAGATAGCACTGCATCTATATAGTCTTGGTTTACCATCACCATGGTCTTCATTTGGTTCCTTCCGTCTCTTGTCTTTGGTAGTTACTGTTGTTGTTTTCCATTAATCTATTTTAAAAGAATGGGAAATGTTTGTTGTTCTATTTAATGATTCTTTTTGGATAAGAAAGTTTTTATCTTGTTGTTAGTTACCTTTTAAATGTCATGAAATTATTTTTAGATGTTCCTTGAATTCATGAAGTAGCATGTCAGTTTCTCACACTATCAGACTACTTTTAATTATGTATCGCCTTCATAAATGCAACCATTATGGTTTCTTTTTTTTTTAAAGATTTTATTTATTTATTTGAGAGAGAGAGAATGAGAGATAGAGAGCACGAGAGGGAAGAGGGTCAGAGGGAGAAGCACCTGCTGAGCAGGGAGCCCGATGTGGGACTCGATCCCGGGACTCCAGGACCATGACCTGAGCCCAAGGCAGTCGCTTAACCAACTGAGCCACCCAGGCGCCCAACCATTATGGTTTCTGAAGCCTTAGCCTGAAGCTATTGAAAATGATCTGCTTAATCTTGTCATATTTTACACATTAGCTTCCTTGCATAACATCTTTACTTCGGCTATTTATTGTCAGTCTCCTATTCCAGCCCTTATAGATGAATGTCACAGGCACTGAATTGGATGTCAGGGGCACGGTGGCCCTCAGCCTTCTTGTAGTCCCCACATTATACAAATGTTGCTGCTTGGAGAAATAGAATGAGCATTCAGTTCTTTGCCCAATGTCCAATGACTTTGGGGGAGCAAGCTGCTCTCTTTCTTTATAAAGCAGTATAATAAAGTCTCCTTCATAAGCCAGTGTCAATATTTGCAAGATGACTAATAGTCAAGTCAAAGGTACAATCCTGTGACCAGAGGACAGAGCCCTCTGCAAATGTAACAGTCCTATCTTGACCATCAATGACTCTTAGTGAAGAAACATCCCATTAATACCTCTGTGTGGAGGTGTGGGAGAAAACACAGGAAGACAGAAATCCAGACAGAATTAAGGGTGTCACGAGGGAGGCAGTCACATCATTTAGAACACGCATTCTGCTATATTAATGGATCTTTTGTCACCTGCTTTCCCAATATATACATTCCAGCATGGGACCACTATACCAGCTCCCCCCTTCCCCACCTGTCTCAGCCCATTGCCAGACCAGTGTGTCTTCCGCAGCTCCTCTGAAATGTTGATGAATAATGATTTTTTCCTTCCTATTACACTCTTCTTCCTCATCCCCACTCCAGAGCGCCAGATGCTGATTCTGTGGCCTGCACCATGCTGTGCTGATGATCAGATGTGATAGGCAACAGGCCACCCTGGGAAATGGTGGTGGTCCGTTCTGCTCCTAGCTGAGACTCAGCTGTCACAGTACCAGGCAGAGTGTAATGTCGGGGCTCGGCATTTTCATTGCCAGCCCCTGAACAGCCCCTCTCCCCCCTATATTTAATTATATGAAGAGAAGTTTAGGATTGGTAGCTTCTGTATTGGCCAGTTTCCGGTGCATTTGGAGAGTAGCTCAGCTCTGTGGGGTGAAACGTCTGCCTTCTCCTAAACTGACTGCAAATTCTAGGATTATGCCAAAGTGGGTTGCTGTCAGAAAGAAACCTTGCCTTGTTGCTCTGAGCAAGAAGCCACATGCAAAAATACCCCAACACGCAGCCATTCTCATTAAAGCTAGTTGAAATTTTGGACAAGTCTTAAGTATAAATTATAAATTTATTAGCTCATAGAGCTTTCTCCCAAGAAAGTAAACCTAATAAAAATTAGAGGGAACTTATTAAGTGGCTGCCTTGTTGCTATTTGCCATCACTAGGGGAAAAAAGTAGTATCATTGTGGGGTTTGCAGCCAATGCACTTTTTTGTTGTGGACTGGAGAGCAATTGAGAGAGCAGATATGAGGTGAAAAGAGTATGTCTTATTACCATTGCAGTGAGAACTCTTTAATTGAAACTTTATATAAGCATTTCCTGCCACAGAGTTAGGAGGATCTTTAACTGTTACTGAGAGGGAAAAATCTGGCTCCAAACCACCATTGGAGGTCACCAGGGCACACTACTTATTTGCAAAACTGCATCATCACCTTCCGGGGAAAGGATTCTGGGGGAGTTCACCAGGCTTACAATGTACAAAAAGCAGATCCTGACAATGGTAGGGAAAGAGATGATGGCTTTCAGGGAACTTGTAATTGTCGCTGTGATTATTTATTAATCAAGACTTTTAAATGTTTGCAAGAGAAGCAGAAACCGTGTTATTCGACATACCAACATGGCCCTAAGTATGCTTTCTCACCACCTGATTTTGCCAACATGAGATCCCGTCCTCTCTTCGGCTTTTGGGTTTAATCCCCAACCAGAATCGATCAAACACAATCTTGAAAGAATGCACTTTGGAATCACAGAGTGTTAGAGCTCAAGGGGTGCTATGAAAATTATCTAGTGCAAAAGTCTTTGATCTGAGATCTCTATTTGGATTTCAGGAGGTCAGTGAACCCCTTAGAATTGTATATAAAATTTTCTGTGTGTCTGCATTTTTCTTTTTTTTTAAGATTTTATCTATTTATTTGAGAGAGAGGGAGAGAGAGAGCACGAGCAGGGGAGGGGCAGAGGGAGTTGGAGTGGGAGAAGCAGACTCCCCGCTGAGCAGGGAAGCCTGACTCGGGGCTCGGGGCTCGGGCTCAATCCCAGGACCCTGGGATCATGACCTGAGCCAACCAGGCGCCCCTCATCTGCATCTTTTATGAAGAAATCTAGGAGGAAGATTCTTAACTTTCATCAAATTCATAATAAAAGTTTCCCTGACCCAAGAGTGTCTAAAAATCATCAATTCTAGTCCATCCTCCCCCTCCCTGGCTTTCTTACCAGAGAAGAACATGATTCTCAGAGATGCAGAATAATTCGCCTGACACCAAACAGCTAGTTAATGGTGGACCCAAAAGTTGAAGTGTTTTGTGACTCTAGCTCCAAAACCAGCTCTTTCCACTCTACCAGAGTTGTTTAGCAAGCACTGGGGGCCATGATAAGATATCCAGGAGATTGTTGACAGCAATGATTTGTGCTATGACTGTAACCCAACTTAGAATACCTTTGAGATCCTTTTCCTTCACTGAAATTCTTTGTTTCTATCCACCTTAATAGAGAACAGCATTGACACAGGATGATCCAGAGCTAATTTCCATTTAGAAATTATTTCCACTTTATGATTAGTCTTTCCCGCTCCCCATTGATCTCCCTTGCTAATAATGCTTGGTTAGGGCTAATAATAAAATGAGTTTGCATTCCATGAGTCTTCGCCATCTGATGGCAGGGTAGAAGGGCATCCCCATCAGGACCAGCTACATAATTTGCAGGGCCCAGTGTTAAATGAAAATACAGAACCTTGTGTTAAAAAATTATTAAGGATTTCAAGGCAGAGTGGCAGCAGAGCCCTGAACAAAGTATGGGACCCTTCAAAGCATGGGCCCCTGCACGACTGCACAGGTCACACAGCCAGTGAAGATGGCCCTATAAGATCCCTATTAAAGCTTTGGTAGAGCACGGGACAAAAAGAAGCCAACCTATGATTTAAAATTGGCCACAGATGATCCGCAATGCTAGAGAGTTGTATATTCATAATCATAAGGACTTTGTGGCTTATCTGTGCATATGCTCATATACACACATGCACATATAAATCAGTTTGACTAAAATTACCATCATTTCCCTTCACCCAATGCCAAAACCCAAAACTAGTTTGCTTTAATTTTTCATCTTAGGACCTCTTGTTCTGGCATTGTTTAAGCACACATTTTCATTACCAGTTTTCATAACCAAATGACAAAAGGAGGAATGAGTTCTCCAGGGGCATCTAAAGAGTCAGGTGGAGACAGAAACTGGAAAAGCAATGGCCAACTACTAGCTAGGGATATTTGAAGCTGCCAGAAAGGGGGAAAACAGCTTCGGGGTATGCAGTGTAATGAGTCAATACTCTTAGGCTTAGAACATTATGAGGACAGAAAGCATTTTGAATTCAAGAATCAGAAATCTGGGATTCCGACAGGTAAGCAGGTTTACCAACTGAGAAAATGGCTGGGATTTGGTGTCCTTGAGTTAGACATATTTCAGGAGAGCAGAGGCACCCATGCTACCTCGTTTCCTACTTCTGTTTTAGTGGCATTCCAGGGTTCCAAGTTTAATGCACAACATCTGTGCTTCATAAGAGTTGAGGCCAAATGTTGGGTGATATCCCCTTGGTTAGCTCTATGCAGAAACCAAAATCTAATGTGCACAAGGTGGAATTTACACTTGCTGTGCTTTAAGCAAACTCAGACTTCTTGGCAAACTAACGGCCAGTTAGCACAAAAGAAAATATAAATTGGGCAATCGATTTGAATTAGTCTCATGTGTAGTCAGTTGTTGTATAAGTGACCCAAGTACTCCGAAACCAGCTTCCTAAATGCATTTTGCCCTCTAGAGAGAGAAGAAACCAGCCCTCCCTGCGCCTCTCTTAGAAAAGTAAAGAAAGATATAGCAGCATAGCTTAAGCCTTCAGAGAGCTTGTCTTCAGTTTTACAACACAGCCTCCAACCCCAAAGCCCAAAGCTTAATGTCCGTAAACGTATGGTATGTACCAAATGACAGCACGCATGCACTCACTCATCTGAGTCCGTATCCAGTACGCACATGCTGACTGATGATCGCTTTGGATGCTGGTGCTCTACTCTACCGTGTGAGGTGAAAGGCACTTTGCAGTCAAATTTCAACCCACATCAGAATTCGATAGCAAATGCAATATCCACAGAATTATCAACCAGTGTAAAAATGAAGGAAACATTTTAAAATGCTCTAATGTGTTATTAACTCTTTGTTTGCAGTATCTGTGGGATATGAATATGAAACATGCCCTGACTTTATTCTCTGGGAGAAAAGGACAGTCATCTTACAAGGCTTTGAGATGGATGCTTCTAACCTAGGAGGCTGGTCATTGAATAAGCATCATATTTTGAATCCTCAAAGTGGTAAGCAGCTTTTCATTTTATTTTATTTTCAAAGGATGTACAATTTTTCCTTTTACTGTTTTAAAGATTTGTGTTTATTTATTTTAGAGAGAGGGGGTAAGCATGGAGCCCACCCTTGGTCTTGATCACATGACCTTAAGATCATGACCTGGGCAGAAATCCAGAGTCAGACACTTAACCGACTGAGCCACCCAGACGCCCCACAGTGGAAATTTTTTAAATTGTGATAAAAGATGCATAACAAAGTTTACCACTTTGACCATTTCTAAGTGTACAATTCAGTGGCATTAAGTACATTCACAATGTTGTGTGACCATCACCATTGTCTATTTCCAGAATGTTTCCATCATCCCAAAGAGAAAATCTGTACCCATTAAACAGTAACTCCCCATTCCTCCTCCCCCAGCTCCCATTCTACTTTCTATCTCTATGAATCTGCCTAGCTTAGGTATCTCATGTAAAGAGAAAGATGGATATGTTTTTAAGGCTTTTCATACATACTGCCAAGTTTCCCTCAAGAATAATAGTCCATTTCATGGTCAAGAGTGCCCATTTCTTTGCACTTAAGAAGCTTTTAAAATATTTATTAATACTGTTTTCTTAATGCAATATATATACACACATACATAGTGCTATATATATGTATTACACATATGCAACACGTATTTGATGCGGAAAACTTGGAAAAGTACAAGGAAAAAATTACTTTTAAGTCCACCACCTAGAGATGGCCATATTAGTATATTTCTTTTCAAATACAACAATCTGATTTCAAATTAGCGCTAGTATAGTGAGACCTCTTCATCACAAAGTTCTGTGAAACTGGGTTTTAAGAATCATCTATCATCATTGCTCTATCCCAAGTATTTAATCAATGTATCTGACACTAACCAACTTTTAAAAAGTAGAATATAATGTTTTATATAATCTAAGACTCCATCAATTATGCCATTATTTTATGGAAAATGCTGCCAATTAAACTATAACATGCATTGATTGTGAGATACATACTTATTTCAGAGATGTTAAAAATGTGAAGCAAAATGTGCACCTTGGCATTGATGAATCATCCATGTGTTACAGTTTTCAAAAGGCTTTGGTGACCTCTGTCACCTTTTAAATACAACAACCCTGCAGTATGGCATTAATCTCATTTAAAAGATCAAGAATCGGAGGTTTACAAAGTCATGTGATTTTCCCCAGGGTTGCACAGTTCATAAGTGGCTAGAGCCCTGTGCTCTTTCTCTCCATCACAGTTATTTGTCCACATAAATGTCCGTAGATCCAGTGAGAAGCTAGGAACTGAATCAAGGAACAGTAACAGGTAAAAAAGAAGAGGTAGGAAGAAGACAGGAGAAGAAGTGAAAGAATCTAGGGAAAGAAGGCAGTCCTGGACTTCACTTAGTTTTAAGTCTCCTAAGTCCTGGACTTAGGAAAAGAGGAAAAGGCAGAGAATCAGGACACGGTCATCTTCAATCTTTGCCTTCTTCGAGCCACCCTTCCTGTTGTCACTTTCTCCTGGTTTGTAATTTACACATTAACTAAATCAGGAGAGGGAACCACAGGTGGCTCTTGAGCCCATGTGGCTCTCAGACAAACTGATCTCACTACCCTGGTTAGAAATGCTTCATCCAAGTTCCTCCACCTCGTTTTGCGTACTACTGGGGAGTCGGTCATTGGTGTTCCCATCCAGCTTTCATGTGAACATCTACTGGGAAGTTTTCATTGCAAAATCACATTCCTTTTCATCCAAAGAGGCAGATTCTGAGCAACGTTTAGTAGAACATGGACTTTGGGTTATTTCTCCAGGACTGGGGATGCAAATGTCTTGAGAAAGTTACACTCTTCCATCCAGCCTTCTTTGTCTGCATCTGACCTTTATGAAACAGCTGGCTAAGGTCAGGTTATCTTGTAAGGCCATGAACTAACCAAGGCTAAGAGAGATCCATTTTATAATCACACCTATGATCTTACTTTGATTGCACCATCGTTGAGTCAGCTGAGTCAGCCAACCACATGGGCTGGGAAATTTTGATTGGCAAAGCTAACCAGGTTTGCTTCAACCACGACATGACACCACCTACCACAGTCCCAGGGTGGGACCCCAAAGGTAAATGAGTCCATTGCCATATGCCTTCATTATCCTTCCTTCTCCTCTTTCAAGGAACATTCTAAATTCCATTTCAAATTGTTTGTTTTTTTAAGAGCAAAGATTCAGGCACAGATATAAAATGTCAACTTTTTTCTGTTGTCAAAAGGAGAATCACAGTTTTAAAAGTACAAAAACGAAAGGGCAGATGCCACTTATTAAATTATGAGGTTTTTTGTTTTGATTTGAAAGAGTTTGACATTTTAAGCAGCCGTTTCTTTTCCACTCACTTTTATTGGCTTGTATGGATTGTCTCTTTCAAATGCCTGTCATTGACATTAAGCACAAAGTGGGAAATGACCTCAATCGAACCAGCCCCCAGCTGTGTGCTCCCAACCCTGTGTCCTCTTACCATTTGCTTCACACAGGCTTAGAAATTCAGAGCAGAGGGGAGCCATTGAGGAAGTTGGCTTTGGGCCCCCCCTGATTTCCACAGATGTGTTCTCTCCACCCCTACTTCTCCAGTAATCAGTTTTTAGGCAATAGGTACTGAGTTCTTTCTGAGAATCTTTTTAACACCTTTTCTGAAGTATAATTTACACACCATACAACTCACCCACTTTAAATGTACACTTAAATGATTTTTAGTAAATTGTAGAGTTGTGCACCCTGCACCACAACAGTTTTAGAATATTGTTGTCGCCCCAAAAAGATCCCTTGTGCTCACCCCAAGCCCCACCAAATCTGCTCTGTCTCTTTCTGAGAATTTTATTCTGAGAAAGAAACCTTATTTTAGATAGTTTTTTTTTAAAGGAACATTTGTTCATTGTATCATCTCATTTGTAGGCACGTTGTATTTCTAACCAAGAACTTGTCACACTTGCCAGGAAACAGATCTGAAGCCAGCTCTGACACTGCCTTTCAGCCTGACCTTGGACACGAACACCTCTCTTGGGATGTTTTCGAAGTCTAAATCCCACCCACAAAGGCAGTTTTAGAAGCAGGAATGATAAGTGTGAAGGAGCAGCTTTGAGAAGACCAATTTAGAAAGCAATGCTCTTTCCCCCTCAGGTCAGACAGTCTTTTCTGACTGATTAAGGCAAGAGCAACCAGCTTTCCAAATTCCCCCACTCTGCTTCTTTCTGGAAAAAGCCTAACTCTTTAGGCATCCTGCTTTTTTGATCTGAGACAGATGGCAGATTAGAAACAAGAATCTATCTTCCCCCAATTTCCTCTCACTGGTTAAAAAGATACCCGTAATTAGATTGGATGTCTGCTGCCATTCACTTCTTCAGTTTTTCTTAGGTTCCAAAATCATTACACAGTGGGTAGTTTCTAGAAGGCAGTGTTTTCAGACCATTTGTCATTTTAGTTGCAGCAATTATATTTACCTGAAAATTAACCATTGGTTGCGGAGAATTGTTTCCAAATATTACGCCTGATATATGTAGATGTTTCTAGTTTCTGAGATAAAAAAAAAAACACCAGGAACTTGTGTTTTTCAATATTATTCCTTCAAAATACATCTTCTTAGTGATTACAGAGAGTACATATCCTTACCTTTTAAGATAAATCAGTTCTTTAACATTATGAGGAATAAAAATGTGTACGTGAATCATCTATTACAGAGGTAAGCTATTTGTTATATTATATCTTTGTATCAAACATATCTCCTAGTGCATCCTTCCAGTTGAGTGTTAAAAAATTATTAGAGAAAACAATCCAGGGTACTAATTGGGTATCGTCATCTGTCTGAAATGGATAAAGAATTTCTTTTAACTTAGCCTCCAAAATAGGGCAGTAGTTTGTCGACAAATGGTTTTACTGGGAGGGGAAGTAAATTCCCATTGATCACACTGGCATATCTCCCAGTTTGTGTTTATATCCTCTCAGTCAAGTCCTAAGAGAAATATGTATTGTGTCCCTCGTTGTTCATAAGTCTGAAAAATGGTTTCTTCTTTGAAATCAGCATAAAGCACCACCCACTGGCTTCCGAGGGGAATTTTTATTTCAAACTTACTTATAAGCTTCAAAAGAAGTTCTGAGCAAGGTAGCAAGAGGGTATGAGTAGTGTGTTTAAAAGTATGCTTAACTTATTATACAACAGACCTGGCTTTTTGACAGAGAAAAAGAAAACTTAGGGGAGAAAATGTGCAGTAGGCCCCATTCAGTGGGGTTTCTTTGTTGACTGTCAACAAGACACCCAATCCTTAGCAGGAAGTTGGCCTTCATATAAATAATGTGCATTGTCCTAGGATCCTTTGATTCTGTTTTCAAAATGAGCATGTGTGGCAGAATAAACTGGAAGGGAGGCAGCAATAATTGATCAAGATTTCCAGGAACAGAAACAAAATATCTTCAAAGCAACCTTTTGCAGAAGAATTGGTGTTAAATCATTGTTGCTAGATGGTATGCCCCAGTTCTATGTAATGGAAGGTTAAACAGATTCTTGAAACAACAAAAACACCCTTCAAAATGATCTATTTTTCCAGGGCAATACAAAAGGGGTTTGCCCATTTTTGTTTTGATTGCTTCAGCTTTAAACAGGAATGGTAATTTCAGTACACGGGCACTTTAGTACCTTGCATGAAAGCAAGACATCAGTTGTTGAGATGTAATCAGAAAGTACATTGCCTTATGTTTTATTTCCTTTAATCATTCTTCTTCTTTGATGGAGTGCTGGGCTTTCTAATAGAAAAGGGGAGTTTTAGAATTGCGGGCTTAGAAGAATGGTTTAGAATAGCCATCTTTAGTTTTTAAATTGCCAGGAGCCTGGTAATAACATGTCATTTTGAAGGTAATTGTTAACTATACCGTTATATTGATATAAAAAAGATGGAGATCTACCTGTGAAAATAGATGTTAATAGCAAATCTGGTATTTCCAAGCCAATAATTGGACATATTTTTGAATGATATACCTATAATGCATTGCTGAAATATAGACATGCTAAACAGTTGGCTTCCTCATTTGTTCGAGAACGTATCATAGTCTCATTGGTAGGATATTCAGTTCGTGATCATCAGGAGGTTTCTTTTCGATGATGTTGTGTGACCGTCATCCCAGTTCTCATTCACTTCCTCCCAATTCATTTAAACTGTAGTGTTGATCACACTGCAATTAAGTGTTTTTTTGCAAAATGAAATTCAGTCTTATTAATCTTAATTAACTGTTCAAAATCTTACAGATTTTTTTACTGCCTAATAAAGTTATTAATAAAATTAATAAGAAAGTAGTGATCCTCGAGATATCTCACAGTTCTGCCATTAAAGACCAATTTGTTGGGGCGTAAACTCATAGCTGCTCCCGCAGATCATATGTTGAAAAAATAGCCAGAAATCACCTTGGGAGGGAGAGTCAAAATACCTAGACTTGAAATCCGAAGGCTGTATGATGTATGGGATTTGTTTCCTGGAAAGCCCCTTCCAAGTTCCTATTTGGTGTTACAGTATTGTGCACGTTTTACCCTCTTACTTATTTTTGCCAACAATGTTCCCATTTCAGAGTGATCAGTGGTGCTTATTGTAGGACTATGGGACCAAAAGTTGGAAGAAAACTGAGGAAGATATTTCAGGAAATGTTTAGGGAGAGTAACAGGCAATCCAAGGAGTTAGATAGCAGGGGTCATGGGGAAAAAAAGAAAACTCTGCAAGATTCATTCATTTGCTGTCAGTGACTTCGTCTGACACGTTGGCATGTCTTCTCACAACGCGGATGTTTTACCTGCCCAGGCTCATTGTGAGCAGACTGGAGTACAGTAGTCCTTGTTCCTGGGATTTTCTGCCCGAGGTTCAGCAGGTTTGCACTAGGATTTGGACAAGGCCACTACAAGAGACTCAAAGCCTATTTTAAACATTTAGTGAGCTCTTACAATGACTTGGCCACAGTGATTGGCACTAAAATGCAGAAAAGAGTAAGACAGAGGGTCTGCCTTCATGGAACCCATGTTCTAATGGGAAAAACAGAGAAGTAATAAAAACTGTATCATACAACATAGTCGGTGTTATAACAGAGCTATGGAAAACAAACCGTGGGCACAAAGAAGAGGGAGTAACTCATTCTGCCAGGACCAGAGCACTGGGGAAAAATTGAGCTGAGCTTTGAAGGATAGGTAAGAGTTCCCCAAGCAGACAAGATGAGGAGGGCCTTCAGGACAGAGGGAAGGGCATATACAAAAGCAGAATGGAATGGAAGAATGTGAAGGGAATTGTAAATAGCTCACTATTGCTGGAACTCAAGATACAAATTAGAGGATGATGAGAGTAGGCAACGGTCAAGTCATGAAGGACTTTGAATGCCTTAATAATAGGGAATGTGCCCCTTATCCTACAGAGGATATGGAGGTGTTGAAAGATTCTAGCCACACACTAAAACAATCTCAATGGCAAGAGTTGAGGGGGTGATCTGGAGCTAGGTATGCATGGAGACCGGGAACCCAAGACGTGAAGAAACACTGAACTAAAGCAGTAGTGATAGGAATGGAGGTGACAAAACTGGTTCAACATATTTTAGGAGAGAGACTCCAAGTGGGTTTCATAATGAATTAGGCGTAGCGAATGAGGACAAGAAGAGCCGTGGCCATCCCCACATTTCCAACTTGGGTGAATACACACGTGGTGAGACCACTGCTAAGATGAGTAGGCAGCACAGGAGGAAGAGCAGGGTTTGGTAGGGGGAGCAGAAAAATAATGAGTTCCCTTTTACACCTGTTGAGTTTGAGGGGCCTGTGAGGCATCCAAGTGGAGCGATCGAGCAGGAAATTGCAGGGCAGGTGCCGACTCTGGACAGGAGAAAGTTTCAGCATATAGAGATATGAATTAAAACTGTGAGAATGGATGAGATTGCCCAAAGAGAATGACTGCACAGTATTTTCCAGCATTGTCATAAGTCAGTATCTCTATTTCCTGCACTGATGATAGTGAGATATGGTCCAAAAGAGTGGAAAATTCAAGTTCCTTTCTTATATCTTTGAAGTACATTCTAGCAGTATGATTTTTTTTCTTTTCACAGAAGTAGATTACCTTCCTGATGGTGTTTTGCTAAGGTTAATATTAAAATTGACTGATATTTCCTTTTCAGGAACCAGTCAGTTGCATAGTGAGGGTAATTTGAAGTCAGACAACTGTGTGCTGGGCATCAGGAGAAAGTCGGCCAGAGATGAAAAATTAGCCACTGATGATTCACAGAGCCCAGAGTGAACAGGAGATCATTAGAAGTTATTCATCAAATGCTTTATTGAGGCATTTAGAATCAGCACTAAAGGGCCTGGATGTATTAACCCATATCACACGTAGACAAACTGAGGCCAGGTGTTATGCTACTGTTCGTTGCGGCTATGCGGTTAAACAAAACTGTGGACGGTGTGCTTCACTCTTGGGTTCTTTGATGCCAGGCCAAAGCTCGATGCTACTTTGAGCAATGAGAGAGAGATTAAAGTGTTGCTGAGAATATTGTGTGGTAATTGTTTTTTTAATTCTCTTTTTTTTTCTTGAATCTAGGAATCATACATAAAGGGAATGGAGAAATTTTTTTCATTTCCTTTTTTTTTCCAGTCATATCAACCATAATGGGTAATGGACACCAACGGAGCGTAGCCTGTACCAACTGCAATGGCCCAGCTCACAACAACAAACTCTTTGCTCCTGTTGCCTTAGCTTCTGGCCCTGATGGTAGTGTGTATGTTGGCGACTTTAATTTTGTAAGACGAATATTTCCCTCAGGAAACTCCGTTAGTATTTTGGAATTAAGGTAAGTCTCCCCTAATCTCTGTTTGCTTAGCGGATAAGGAAAAAGCAAGAATGCAATAACACGAAGAGAAAGACATTGCCAGAAAGAGCAGAAGGTGCAGTTGCCCATATTGTAGCCCTGAGCTGAGATGCAGGAATAGGGACAAAGGACATAGGTCAACATGCCCACTCCTTTGGAGACCCAGGAAGTGTTGACATCCCTGTATGTGTGGCCTTCCTTGTGGGCATTGCCATCACTGACATGGATCTCAGTACTTCCAAGTACTCAGGTAAGTCACTCAACCTCTGCCGTTCATGACGAAGATGATCAAAAATATCTATTTCATTCTAGCAGGTAGAGGTAATCCCAGATCCAAAAGCCTACATTTTCTAAGTTCTCCAGGTTCAGTCTTTTGAATGGTCACTTCACAAAAAAGAAAATGGAAGTCTGTGTTTGTGTGCCCTGATAAGGAAGGAAGAACTTGTGGGGTTTTTTTGTTTGTTTGTTTGTTTTTGTTTTTTACACTTAAAAGCTCTATTCCATTGGGGGAAAAAAAGATTAAAGCATTCATCGTTAGACTTTCTCACTCTGTTCTAGAAATTTTCTTGAGAGTACAAAGGATTTTGACACCTTTTGAAAGGAATTCATACCTTCTGGTATTCCATGTTCTAAAGTTACACAAAGATTACAACTAAATAGACTATGGCTTAATCAGATTTATTTCTCCTTTTCTGAGGCTACAAGATACAAACATATGCCCTCTGGAGTCCTAGAAAAGGGAAGCATCCCCTCCCACTCCAGTGAGGATAGACAGACCTGTCTACTCTCTCCTGGGTAAATAAATGGATAGAGTCTTCCCTCCAGTTGGTTATGACAGCTTTATCCCTGACACATACCTTGGGAACTTTAGGCTGAAAGTTTCTCTCTGTTCCAGAGATTTTGATGCCATCCTATAAACTAGTCCATAAAACAGTTGTTGCCTCAGGCATCACCTCATTGTCCTGAAAGATAGTGACCAAAAAAAAAAAAAAAAAATAGTGACTGGGAGAACAGAGACATTGATGGAGCAACTTCTATGTACAAAGCACCATGAAGGCCAATCAAAACATATGAGAAGTCTTGGGTCATTTCTGTTTAACATTATGTTCACACAAGCATGGAAATTTGAATACATGAGGACATTCCTTGAAATTTTTCAGATTCTCGTGCTTGCTCTGGAATCTAACTCCTTTTTCTCAGACTGAGTTAGTCATTCACACCTAGTTGGGGACATCTTCCAGTCCCAAGCCCCCATCCATTTTTCACATTAATTCATTCCAATTTTAATACATTTCTTAATTATAATTATAAACACTGTCATAGAAAAGAAAGCTGTTAAATCCCTTGACTGATAAAAAAAAAATAGACTGTAACATTAAGATTTTATAAAGATAAAGTACATCTAGAGAGTTTAGAGAAGTACTAAGTCATAGCACCCTGCCCTAATCAAATGTTCATATACCTTAGGATGTCACACCTCATGGAGACTTGTCATTTCCAGCAGTATATCTCTTTGGGCACCTACTTACTGGAAAATCAATGAGGAAGGCCAAGATGGTTGTATGCCCAGATTTAGAAATGATTTATACAACATTCAACATTGTTTTCAAAATCCTAGGGATGCTCCATCTACACGATGCCAAACATTGATGGAGCATTGCACGATTCATTCACCATCTGAATGTTTCTAGCCATGCTGATATTAGCTATCAAGTAGACAGAGACCTCGCTAACCCCATAACGCCTATATAGCTAGCCCTCTGTAGCTAACTCCTCAAAGGAAAACCCGTAAGTTTAGCTAGAAAAACAAATACTAAGACTAATAATATTACTATAAAGAAAACCCAGCTAAGTTTAGTCCTTTCCTTTGTGATTTAAATGCAAATTTACCTAAGGTGGAACAATTTTCATTCACTGATGAGATTCTCCTTTGCTCAGGGATCCTTAACAGTTCACAAATTTGCATTTTGGTCCAAAATACCTTATGACCTTCAACACAAAGTCATTCGAAGAATAAAATAGCGTAACTTGGGCCCCAATTGCAAAGTGATTTTCTTGGTATAAAGAAAAATCCATTTCTGGCAGTGTGAAGTATTGTCCAATCCCTCTATTCAGTCTTACTCCACGGTACTGTTCTCTCACATTGTCACAGCTCTTCAAACACATAGGCAAGCGCACGCCTTGAGCTCACACACCCAGGTTCTCTCACTTAGCCTGAATCTCTCTAGCTAGCTCTTCTGAGCTCATATCCTTTAGAGCGGTTCTTCTTAACTTCTTTTTTTTTTAATTCTCAGGAGGGATTGAATCTAAGGAGGGCTGTGGGCCCCCTCCCCAGAAAAAGAAAAAAACATGTTCACACAAAATTGTACGTGTGTTTTCAGGGGTCCCATATTTCCCCTCTCTCCCTGCATGTCCCCCGCCTGCCAGGAACTTACCCCTTTCATAGACTCATGGTTACGATTCCCTGGATTCGTCTCAAACAGAAAAAAAATAGTTCTCTCTTGCATTAGGTTCAAGGAGGAAAAAAATAGTTTTCCCTTGTCTACTCTAACACTCCTGTGCTTGGCCATCAGAGAAATAAACTGATTGAGTTTACATGATCATTTTGACCTAATTGATAGGTAACTCCCTATTTTCCTATAGTCAAAACCATCAAACTAGTTTATGTTAGCAAACGTTATCTGTCATATTTACTCAGACACTAATAATAGTTCTTATTAGATTCACCTAAAAACAGTGTCTGGCTTGATCAGTAACCTATACTGTGTACACTGCATCTTTGGCATATGATTGATGAATTTATATATTTGCTTTATAACTTCCAGATTTAAACTTCCTGGGGAGAAATAAGTTGATATAATAAGTCTTTGCTATGTTAAGAACCATAATGTTCAATGGATTCTATTGCATATAGATAGAAACTTCGTTTTGTACCAGTTTTTTTTTTTTTTTTGGTTAAAATCAGTTGATTTAATTGCTGCCACCACCCTCCCCCCTCCCAGTGTGTATTAGTCATTTTACTTGGTTGAGTCATCCGTTTCCTTGGAAACACAGACTAATATAGTCATTATGTTATTGGCTGCATTTAAAGCTGTGAATGGAAGAGCAATGTTGTCAATAGGTTATTACAGAAAGGGATAGAGAACATTCCAGATCTTGACCCTCTGTCAGGGTTATTCATTATATAACTTAACCACTCTGTTCTCTACTTCTCTGTCTATAAAATTGACTTCAAGTTAATATTTGAGCATCTTCTTACATGTCTTACATAGTTTAACTTGTTTTAAGATCCACAGATGCATAGTTCTCAGCCCAAAGTTTGATGACATTTTGTTTGCTCTGACATAAAGCTTGCTCCTACTGGATGCCCTTCTAGATTTCCTTCTCTTCCATTCTCTTGTTTCATAGTGGGCCACGTTGAAAAATTCCAGGTTCCCCTTGACATTTCAAAGATTGGAAGACATAGATTTTTCCTTCCTCGGCTCTGCTAATCCAAACTGTCCCTAATTGAATTTCTTTCATCTGACCTCAGAAATAATTTCATTTTCATTGGTTGCCAATCATTTATTTCCTCTAGCTGGCCCCACCATTGGCTGAATGGGGAAGGTAAGGAAAAGTCAGTTCTGTCATTATCATTAGCAATATAGCAAGAGCAACAATATCATTTCTTGTTACTTAAAGTATAGCGTACCCTTTTGCCCGTTGACTGCAGATTTCATCTACACATACACATCTTAGTGCTTCCTTCCAGTGGGAAACTGAGGTAAGATAATAAAGAAGGGAAGATTATAAGATCATTATATAAGTAATTAGACCTAAGGGAATCTCAAAAATACATTCTCCAAAGAATTTTATAAAGATACATTCATTTCTATGTGAGATAGTTTAAGTCTAGTTATCCCTGTGGATTTACTTCTCATGTTAAAATTTCATACACACACAAATTTCAGGAACACAAAAGTGACATCACAGATTTGTGAGCTTAGTGTTAGAAAAGTCCATGGAGGTATCTGGTGCAACATGGCGCCCACTACATGCCTGACATTTGATCACATCTACTTTGTTTGATCCTTTTCAGTTAACAGAAAAATACCCCTCTAAACAGCCCATTGTATCTTTGGAGTGCTCTCTTAGAAAATTCTTGCCTACACTGAACTGAAATCTACCTTCATAAACCATCCACTCAGTAGTGGCCGATGTTAAGCTCTGCAGCAGCACAGCAATCACTCCCCTCTTGTACCTGACACGTTTCCATGTGCGTGAAGACAGACATAATAGGTTACTGAGCTTCCTCTTCTTCAGTCTGAACATCCCCAAGTCCTTCAAATATTTCTCATCAACGATGACTTCATTTCTTTTTCCTTGAATTATGGCCTCAGGGCCATGGTTCAGTTTTCTGAAACGAACAGGAATAATTTTATAGATAAAAATAGGAGGCACCATGTCAAGTGCTTTGCAAAAATTCAAATATGAATATCCCCCTTGCTTCCCTCTCATCTTCTAATTTCACAAAACTATTAGAAAACTTATTAAGCATGATTGGAAATGACTTATTCTTTATAAAGACCTCATCTGTGATTGTTCAAGATGCTGATATTCTCCAGATCTTTATTTTGTCCTTCCTTTAAAATGAAAGAAAGACGAAAATAAGAGCCTGGCAAATGCTTTTTGGTACCTTGAGTAATTTGGACTTGACAAATGTCAATATGACATAAAAATGTCTCTTGAGATTCTACTGTTTCTTTTACAGTTGACTGGTTAATATTTCCTCCATCGTTCTCAGGACTTGACTCCTGTCACTGACTAGGGATCGAGTAGAACTGGAATAGCACCCACTTAGGGGCAGTTAGCATGCCAAGGGGCAGGGGAAATTGTACAGCTGTCTGCTGAAGGAACAAATGGAGCCCGGACTTTGAGAGCTCGGAAAATACCTGAGAAATGACCAAGAACTATCCTTTTGTCAGCAGCACTGGAGCAACAAA